CGCGAAACAAGATGAATAAAACGCATTTACGATGTTTTATCAGTGAATGTAAAACATTTATTTTCAGAATAATCATTTATTAACTGTTGCATGATATTACTCGATCGTTACGTGATTATTTTCTAACAGCGCTAATCTTCATAACCATCATGGTGTATTTCGCTGACAATAGAAATAAACAAGTAATGTCCTATAGTATGGTATGTGCCAATTAAGTCTAATTGATGCCTAACCCGGACAAAGGATATGTGGTACGGAATTCCAATTCCTTTATTTCAATCAACAGAAAAGTTTAGAGCAACAGCCTCGGAATGAAGCAAATGTGGTTCGCAGAATTGGCCTCATCGGTCACCAGAGAAGCGTGGAACAGCGTAGTTCCCTCTACCATTCTCATTTGCGGTTGTCGGTCCACTGCCATTCCGCCGCCCTCGCAACCGCTTTCGTCCTTTACACCTTCGTATATTTCGTTCCAGCAACATCACGTTACGTTGTAAGTCTCCTCCGAACGGCCGTAAGATGCATAGTGATTGATTGTTCGGTGCTTCAGTATACACCGAAACTATTGAAAACGGTCGAAGCGGGCGTTGGAATCCAGCAATTCGATTCTCACGCAACGTACCGATTAGACCATCTTGCAACAATAGACGATGTAATCACAAAACGAAAGAATAACAACATTTATGTCAGCAAGCATTTTCTGAATTTTATATATATATTCTACCAATTAATCTATTATATAATCTAAATATATATCATCTAAAATATCTATCAATTGATTCTATATCATAAGATACAGATGTATATAAAAATGTTTTCTTTTTATATACTTTAATTGTTAATATTTTGAATCAATAAATTGTTATTTACAAATAATCTATGATTATATATATTTCTTTCCTATCCCCATCTTTCCAATTTTATTGTATAGCTTATATAAATCTATCAGGAAATAATATTTTCAAACAGTTGCTATTGATAATAATAAACTGAATTTTTTCAAAAGTTTCTTTAACTCAATAAAAAACAAATAATATAAATGTCTTTAAAAGAATGTCGTAAATCCAAAAATTTTTTTTATGTTTGTTGTAATATAAGATTTACAATTATAAAGAAAGTCTATCAATAAGATTTTAAAGGTGCACAATAAGATATTAAAAATGCATTATTTTAAATTTATATTACATTAATGATTACAATGTGGAAGGAACATATACATAAATTGTGATGAAAGGAATATCTAAACTTTCATTAATGCGATGCACACATGCAGAAGCAATAAAGTGCACAACCTATTATGTGCATAGTCTCTCAAACTTGAAAATCTAGTCAAGAGTCAATGTGTGCCAATTACGAGAAGCTATCTAACTCTCCCTCGAGGGCTCTTCTCGCTTCAAATGTGAAATGTAAGTACATCATTAGCAAAATAGGCAAGAGAGTATCGGGAAGTAATTCACATAAATTATTAATATCTACACAAGAATATCTTTAGAAGTATTAAGAATAATATTTGAGCATTCATAAATTATATACGATGAAATCTATAATCTAGTCTTATATCTGCTGCACCTATGCCCCCCTATCATAATTTTTGTATATATATTTTAATATGTATTTTATAAATAAAGAATTACATATATTTATCCACCCAAAAGAGAAAGAGCTCATTTTTTATAAATTTTAATATAAGTTAACAAGAATGTATGTGAAACAATAATAAAATCCAAGAAAAAATAAATCTATTTTGATATAATCATTTATTTAAAAAATTCAAAAATATAAAATAAAGTTAAATTGTATTCTAAAATTCTAAATCATACGATTTAACATTAATATATGCATATACACACACACACATATATATATATGTATGTATGTACATAAAGTTACATGGAGAAGTATATAACAGCTAAAGAATTTGAAGGAGTTAACGGTCGATATATTACCCACCGGAAATATTTGTGGCTATGTAGTGCAACATCTTGTACTCATACAGGCGCTAGTAAACGGCTCCTATTAAAATCATGGCTGGTATTCACAGTCCATTCTTATTTTAAGGCTGGTATTCGTAGGCCGGTGATCATAGTCAATTCTTGTATTTGAGATTGGTCACGTTCAGCAGACTCAACTGTTGCGGAGCGAATCTGTGAGCGCTTGCTGCTATTGGTGTATTCTTTTAGATCATCCAATAGCAACAAGCGCTCAGGGATCTGCTCCGCAACAGTTGTGTCTGCAGGGGTCAATTCTGTATCTTCAAACAAGGTGAAAATGACAAAAGTGAGCAAATTTACTAGGTGTTGACCAATGAAATTATCAGTATTCTAGTAAATTTGCTCACTTTTATAATTTTCACCTCATTTCAAGATATAGAATCGATCCCCTGAACGCGACCATAGGCCTGTTCTTTTTAGCTGAACTTTTGCACCAGTTCATCTTTCTTCCTTTTCTCTTCAGGAGGAAAGAAGAAGAAGAAAGATGAACTGTGGTGCAAAAGTTCAGTCAAAAAGAACAAGCTTCATTATCTTAAGTACGGTCTTAAGATGTCATGAACCAATCAGAGAACTGCATTAACATTTTAAGATATTATTTAAGATGGTCTTAAAATAAGAACGGATTATGAATGGGAGCTTTCCAGCAGAGACACAAATCGCCACAAGAGTTATTCTGTCTTTGTTTCTTACTGATTATCGAACAAGGACAGGATGACTCTTGTGTCATTGGGTGCATTTAGTACTACAACCGCTCACTGAGCTCTTGAATCTGTTTGGTCTATATTTTTAGTTCTAACGGAATATGCCAATCAGATGCTCAAGAGCTCACTGAGCGCTCAGTAAGCGGTTGTAGTACTAAATGCACCCAATTTGTGTCTCTTGCAAGGTACCTATCATGGAACAAAGTCGGAATGGATTCCGATCGGAATTATTCCGTTTTCCCCAGAAAACACAATAGAAATCTAGGGAATAATTGAATACCCTGGAAAGCTCCCAATAACAACGGCTTTTGTGCCCAATAGCAACGGCTCCCGCCTTAAGCGTCTTTGTGATTGGTCAGAGAAAAACTTTACGGCCATCCCGACCTTTTTTGTGTGACGCGTATATCAGCGCACCAATGTCCATTTTTGTGATATGGAAAATATCATATCTATTTTGCGAAACTGTCAATAAAATCGTAATACTGAAAAGGAATGTGATGTGTGTCCGTGCTAATAAAGCCGGAATCCATAATCCGGACTTAATCTCAAGCAATGTCTTAAGATGCTAATACGGCTCTCTTGATCATGCATTAGCTTAAAACTATCTCGAATCTTGAGCACCGTCTATGGATTCCGTCCTAAGAGCTATCCGGCAAATTTTAGCAGAGAGAAACCTGATGGCTCCTGCACACTGGACGCGGAAACGCTTGCCGCGGCAAAATGTGACGCGATAACCAATAAGCTTACAGCTCCTAACATGTTCATTGGTTACCGCATCGCATTTTGCCGCGCGGTAAGCATTTCCGCGTCCAGTGTGCAGGAGCCATGAGAGTGGACACCTGACGTAGCATTTCTGCTACGCACTGTACCAAACCTCGATACTATTACGTGGGTTAGACAAGGACGAACAATTAAAGTTGATTATTCATCTTTGTCTAATCCACATAATAGTATGGAAAAGAACCACAAAAACGTGGATATTACCCTACTAGATTTGGTACACGAAAAAGGGTTTCAGGTGTCCACTCTCAGGTTTCTCTCTGCTCTGATTTTAGTATTCATCATATATGTAATACTCCTATATTACTACGCAGCCTCTTTTTGGGAGGTGGGGATGTGCAAAGATAGCGAGATAGGTTTGTTCGCGTCGCAAGCTCCAATATGCTCCAACATGCTTCTACCATAGGTCCTTCTCACTCTACCAAGCACGTTGGAGTGAGTAGGAGCTGTGGTAGGAGCATATTGGAACATGTTGGAGCATGCGACGCGACAAACCTAGAGAATATCGGATCTCTCATTTCCACAGTGTATACGAGTGTGGTGCGCATGCGCTGTACACTAAGTGAGAGGTAGATATTCGTCTGTACCGTGATGTTTTCGCCAGCTTTTAATTGGCGTTGGCAATATAGGAGTATTACATATATGGTCTTCACAAAAAAGGAAAGAGATAATTGAAGAACGCTGACGACAATTGATATAAATTTGCGATTAACACGAATAAATATTTTTTACTATTACATTGTTAAATTTATGATTTTTTATTATATACATTCTCCATAAATAAGCTGCATACTTATAGTGCTATAATATTTTATATATTGTCATAAAATTACAATTATTTTCTCAGTTATCATATCTCTGCAGTTGATAATTATACTCGGACGATAACATTGAAATCGCAGTTTTGAATATAAAGTAATAGAAATCGACTATTATATATTGAATTTTAAATATGTATGTACATATACATGTTTACAAACTAATAAATCATAAAACTTTATTATTATAATTTTTAATAGTCACGCGAACTTAGAATGATATAATAGCGCTAATAGCGTCTCCCCGAACGCACCTCGTGATATATAATTGGCTGCGTTCAGCAGAACGTTTGTTTTGCAACTATTGGAAGTTTCCTTCGCGCTAATTGGATCATACTTTTAGATCTAAAAGAATGGTCCTATCTCAGCAGACAATCATAAAACGGTTGCAAAACTTGAGTCTGCTGAACGCAGCCATTTTCTAGCATCGTGGACACAAGGGCTGCGTTCAGCAGACTCAACAGTTTTGCAACCGTTTTATGATTGTCTGCTGAGATAGGACCATTCTTCTAGATCTAAAAGTATGATCCAATCAGCGCGAAGGAAACTTCCAACAGTTGCAAAACAACCGTTCTGCTGAACGCAGCCAAGGCTTAAGGCTGGCCGTATCTCGTCATTGGTTATACGAAAGAGGCAGAGATGACCACTCTCAGGTTTCTCTCTGGTACTGCTTAGCACATAACTGCGAGCATTTCTTTGTTGAATGTGTTCAATGTTAAACCGTATTGCATGGTAAAAAGCATTCGGTGTCGGTGATTTTAACCTTAATGTTTGCAAGATGCTTATATTGTAAGAATATTAATTTTATTACAAAATAGTGGACTTCCTTAAATATTCAACGAATGAAATAAAGTTAAAAACATGTCTTATTTAACGAGGAAAGAAATAGACGAAATGAAGCCGCAAATCGAGAAAGCGGTTCATAAATTCCTTGGCTTTAGTGAACCAGCTATTGTTACTACAGCTGTCAATTGTATCACTTCTGGCTATGACAAACGTAAAACAGCAGGTTAGCAATAGAAAATACGTCAATTTATTTTCTATGATGATTATTTTCTACAATTTTTACTATTAGCATTTAATACGCGTTCCATGATTATTTGTTTAGACCATTCTTTATAAAAGTTATTTTTATAATTTTTAATGTAATATGTTATGAAATACATTTTTCTTAACAAGTATAAATACAAACAAGAATATCATGAGTCACTAATAACTCATATATGGCACGCTGTGGACAAATCACTTGCAATTGTCGCGACATGAAATATGTTCAAGTAAACTATATGTATTACGTCATTTCATATACTTGAAATATACTTGTATACTTAAAAATGTATATATATACTTCGAAATATATATGATTCTATATAATATGTAAAAAAATTTTTTGTAGATAAATTATCAGCTTTATTAGAAGACAAGAAAGCTTCTAAGTTGACAGAAAAGATATTTACGATATATGATGATACTAAAGCATCTCAAAAGAGTAAGAAACGATCTCATCCTGAAGATAAAGATAAAGATAAAGATGCAAAGAAATCGAGATTCAAAGATGATGAAACGAAAAATGAAAAACCTATAGAGACTCAACTTTCTGCAGATAAGGTATTAGAATTATGTATATATATATATATATATAATCTTAATGTTTTAAACAGTTTAAACACTTCAGTATTATAAGCTTAATTCTTTTTTATACCTTTAGATAAGACAAATGATGGCTAATGCACAAAGAGAAATAGAAGAAAGAAAAAGAGCTTTAAAGGCAATAAAACAAGAAGATGTTTCTGCAAAGCCTTTTAAAATACGTGATACACTACCAACAGTAGGAAGCATGTATAATCAAGGCCTATTGAGTAAAACAGATTCAGACAAAGCACGAAAAATAGCTGCGTTACAAGCACAGATCAGAAATAAGTTAAACTCAGGATTACTTGGCAATGTTAATGTACCGGACAAACCAACTCCCTTAATTTTGGATGAATCTGGCAGAACAGTAGATATAACGGGCAAAGAAGTACAACTCACTCAAGTAGTACCTACGTTAAAAGCTAATATACGTGCAAAAAAAAGAGAAGAATTCAAAGCTCAACTACAAGACTCAAAAGGTCCAGAAGAAATACAAGATACTCATTTTTTCGATAACAGAATAGGTGTAAAACCAGCTATGCGTGGTAAACGTGCATTAAAATTTCACGAACCAGGAAAATTCCAACAATTAGCAGAAAGAATGCGTATGAAGACACAATTAGAGAAATTGCAAAACGAAATTAGTCAAATTGCTAGAAAAACTGGAATCAGTTCAGCGACTAAATTAGCTCTTATCGCACCCAAAACTGAAGCTCTTAGTGAAGATGTGCCTAATATAGAATGGTGGGATTCTGTTATATTAACCGGTGGATATCCTAATGAAAATGAGTTAACGACAATCAAAAGTTTGACTATCACGAATTTAGTAGAGCATCCAACACAAATGCGGCCTCCAAGTATGTATTATGTATATATATTTATATGTATAAGTTTTTGAGATATATATATATGTGCGTGTGTGTATATTTGTATATAAAATTAAATATATTTATATTATTTTCTGTGATAATTTTATATACAGCGGATCCTTTGAAACCAATATATATGCCTGTATTTCTGACAAAAAAAGAACGTAAGAAATTAAGAAGACAAAATAGACGAGAAACTTGGAAGGAAGAGCAAGAAAAAATTCGATTAGGTCTAGAAGCGCCACCTGAGCCAAAGTTGCGGATCTCAAATCTCATGCGAGTTTTAGGGACTGAAGCTGTACAAGATCCTACTAAAATTGAAGCTCATGTTCGACAACAAATGGCTAAAAGATTGAAAGCTCATGAGGATGCAAATGCAGCACGGAGACTTACTGCTGATCAACGTCGCGAAAAAAAGGCGAGGAAGCTTAAAGAAGATACTAGTCTTGGTGTATATGTTGCTGTTTATAGGTAAATGTTATATATTGTATAAATATATATATATAATTTTGTTGTATAGTATATTATAAATATAACATCTATATTTATAAAAAAAATATAACATCTTTTACAGAATACGTGATCTTGTCAATAATGCTTCAAAGAAATTCAAAGTGGAGACTAACGCAAAACAGCTTTATCTTACTGGTTGCGTAATGCTGTTCCGAGATTGTAATGTTGTTGTAGTGGAAGGTGGAGCAAAACAACAAGCTAAGTACAAACGGTTGATGATGCATCGCATTAAATGGGAAGAAGATATAGTTAAGGATAATGACGGGAATGATGTACCAAATAGATGTGTACTTGTGTGGGAAGGGACAAGTAAACAGCGCCATTTCGGAGAAATTAAGTTTAAAGTGTGCCCTATTGAAAAAATGGCTCGAGAACATTTTAAGAAACATCAAGTGGAACATTATTGGGATTTAGCCTACAGTGGCGCAGTTCTTGATAATACAGATGAAGTACGCCCTTAAAATATAATCTTGTAAATTAATTTAACACATAATTATAGCTAATACAACAAATGATAAATAACTTCTGTACAACTTAATAAGATTATTGAAATGAGAAATAAAAGATGTATAACCATACTAAGAGTGGACATAAATAAAAGTGTTCATTGTTTCAAAAAGTCTATTTATTTATTATAGTTGGCACAATTTTGTAGTTAAATCTTAACATTGTGACTGTAATATTTGGTTATTAAATTATGTTATTTCAGCATTTTTTACTTAAATTTACTTTTAATTGAACGTTTAAAAAACTCTATTGAATAAAAAATGTAGTCATTATGACTACTACGCGTGACATACTATCATGGTTTATTACCAATGCTAATTCATTGATTTACACAAAGAAAGCAAGAAATGAAGAAACGAGTGTGACTCTTCATTATCCTAACAAATCACAAATGGTGTCATCTCAAGGAATTTTAATCCGTGAACGACATTGTAGTCAAGCCCATCAAGTGCATCCAATTAGCATAGCGCAATGGCGCTGCAATACCTATACTATTATAACATACAAAAGAACACATGCGAGGTCCACGCATACCGCATCGCATGCATGAAGGTGCGAACGGAATATTCGACCTTGAAACGGCACCTTCAACTGCGATTCCCAATAACGTAGCCAAAGAAAGGTGAACCTTGGTCCCGTTCGTAATACTGATCCAGCAGCCACTATTGCTGCAGCGATGCACTTTTACCAATCGTATACGTGTTATACTTCGATGCACCGTATACCACTGATGCACGTGCATTGCTGCGATCCTGGTTAAACCCCACTCCAGGATAGATCGAACGGGATAGACTAGAGTTTTACTTTCGTTCGAAGCATCATTCTCAGTTCAGTTTACCGCTGCGCGTACTCGCGCACATCGCTCTCGCGCGTGTGGTTCTTGTGAAACCATTCGAAGCAGATGAATGCCATCGTGTATTAAGGATACTTAATCCTTCCTGGAGTGATCCCTACGTTATAAGAGGATATCGTGCGCATTACCCTCAAAAAGATGTTGATCCCTACTAAAAACATCGCTATCAGTAGCTCGTTCATCTTCATATCGCGGTGAGTACTTTTTCGTATTATTTTAAATATAAATATAACAAATAAAAAATTTTATGCTATTTGTTTAAATTTGTATTATAATTTGATAATATACAAATTTAATAATACGTATACTCTTAATTGCGAATACTTTTTAATGTTTGTAAAAAATTCTTTGCATGCGTGTATCGAAATATAAATGGGGCGGAATTAATTACAAATTTATAACTTAAACAATTTATTTTTGCGTTATTAAATATTAAATACTAAATAATAAATGTATCATTAATAAAAATAGATAATTTTTACAAAGAAATATATTTTAGAAATTTGATTAATTTAGTCTTTTTTAATAAATATGCGAGCAATTAAGAATATATGGAATGATTTAAATTTATATTGGGTATGATAAATGTAAAATTTAATCATAAATATTCGTTTGTGAATTACTTTATTTGATTACGGCAATTCATCATTGTTAAAGGAAGGGAGAAAAAAAAGAAACAAGGAAAAGCGAACTTTTTCAGTGTAACATGTAAAATTATGAGAGCGCATGTAAACACAGAACAATACTTATGTAATTGAATCTTTTCTCAGTATAAATTCTGTAAGAATTACCCGTTTCAAAATCGGGGAGGGAGGATTGATTAAGCGTAGGTTGTTACATATCGGATAATTAGCTCATACGTTCTAACCCAACGATCGTAAACAGTGAAACGGCAGCGTTATGAAACTTTGCGAATGCAAACGTGTTGAAGTCTTGGCACAACGATTTATACTCATAGTTAGCACGTTTCTCTCAGCTCGTTACTTCATCAAAGGTTAACGATTATATGCGGACTTATTCAGATCTACACAAATCGACTTGCGTGGGTGATATGAAACTAATTGTTTCGTAATTATTATAATTTATTACACAAATAAAGCAGTATATATATTGTATCAAAAGAGATATGTATCGCTTATGTTCATTCTGTATGTGACATCTTCTAAAAGAACGTCTTCTAGAATTACAACTTCTAATTAATTATTTGATAATAACATATTAAGTATTTTAAAATAATTATTTGTGTTAGTCAAAATTATAAATATCAATCATGATTTTTCAATTTTGAATAAGTATGAGAATATACTTGATAATATCATATATTGAAAAAAAAATTTCCTAAGTCTAAGTAATATTTTTTTGAATAGTGTTAAGTAAATATTTCCTTATTGCAAATAAATATTTATTAAACGTTATGACATATATTATTTGATTTAAGTATTACTTTGTTTTAAAATAAATTTATTTGCAGTAAAGAAATATTTTACGGTTAGTAATATTCAAGAAAATTAAATTTAAGAATTTTTTTTCAGTAATATCCAAAGATTATATTATGCAGTCTTTAAAACAATTATAACAATATAGTTAGAGTACATATTTTAACAAGTATTAAAAATAATATTTCTGAGGCAAACTGGAATCTAAAGACATTGACGAATCAATCTTTGAGCTCAACATAGGCCTAATTTACATCGTGGACTTGATACGGATACTTTTTATTAGTAATTTTCTATTGAATTATCTTAATTTCGGCGATACGTATAAACATATATGTATATATGATATGAGTATTTAATTAATTATTTTGATGCATATTGTACTAATTTAGTACATCATTCTTTAAATACATTGCTGAAATTAAAATAATTTAATAAAAAGTTATTAATTAGTACCTGTATCAAATGCTCGATGTAAAAGAGGTCATAAAAAGATAACAACATTTCTTTTTATTTAATTCCATAAGAAAATTTTTAAGTTTTGTTTAAAAATTGAGAATTACGACGTTCTATTCAGAAATGATATACTTAATAATCTCTATATTCTTGAACATTACAGAAAGATGCATCACGCAAGTAATGCTTTAATACAATATAATTATATGTAATTTATTTTGTCGATTCTATCGGTTCTTCAAGTCAACGTTATAGATCTTCCTTGCTTTCGCAAAGTGCATGCTCGTGTTCCAACAACATTGAAGTTCCGGGTCAATAAGGATTAACAGTTTAAACATAATTGGTCGAGAGTGATCGATCTGCGTGTCAAGGAGATTGTTTCCATCGATTCACACGAACGCTAATCATGGGAATAAAGAACATTACGCAAAACGATCGTAAAAGAACCAGGAAGGATTTCTTAAATGTCAGCCTCATTCGACCTCCTTTTAAGGTCTGTCTGACCATATGCTGTATCATAAAGGCATAAAAAAATGACACAGTCCCAGTTAAGAAACTAGCACGAGATAGATGCCCGTGTTGATGAATGAATTTGTTACGGTAAACGCGCGCAATGAACAATGCTTCTAATGTAACGGGGTGAAATGCCATCGCGTCGACAAGGTCTCCAGAGTTCATTGTGATGAATTACACGATAAATTACGAAACGTGTTTCTAATCTCTAGAATATCACGTATATCAGTTCCTCTGTCACATAGATTAAATTACGTGGAATCTCGCTTGCTCTTAAATCTTGTTATACATTAGCATAGATCACATAAGTTCATGTATGTACATAACTTTAATGAGATCTTATCAAAATATTTAATGTAATTAAAGCGCAGACATACGATTACAATAGTCTGGGTCAATAGAGATCAGAATACTGTGTCCTTCAAAGCATGAGTTTCGTAACAGATAATATAACAAACATGTGTCTGTCAATACACCTCAATTTATTTGCAATACGGATGTGCAAATATACGGTCGTCCGCAATGTCCAATCCCCATAATTGCGCTTTCAATGATTGATTGTATCTCATCATCGCTAAGTTAGATAATAATACAACCATCGAATTTGCATAACGATTATTGGGTAATAACGGCGCTGTATGCTGTATCGTGCAGAATGTAAGTGCATTCACACAAGAATTCATCTCTATTCGAAGGCGTTATAACTGTTTGCCACGATGGCACCAAGCGGCACTAAGCTATGCATGGATAAGTGGGTGTTTTCTATCTTTAGATTACGATCCGCAGATTCCTTGCTCTAATGACACTTGTTGGAGCTACGACCTTGCCACCCAGGATGCTACACGATCTGGATAAGCGCACGAATCTCTCTATGGAGAGATACAGCCAGGCGGAACGGGCAATCATGAATTCCCGGACGCAACTCAATCGAGGCTCGCCGTCTTGGTTCCTTGGTGCGTCCCACGAGATGACCGCGGGCGCACAAAATCTCTCGAGAAAGGCTTTGCGAATCGAAACAATGGCAGTGATGCTCGTAGAAGCACTCAATATGTCATCGAAACAGGCATCCTTAATCTTGCCGACGGTAGCTGCCGTCCTTTGCCCAGACTCACCCAACTTCCTACGACTAGTATCCGAATGCAAGAAATCAGACGTCCGTTACAGAACACACACGGGTCGATGCAATAATCCGTTGCATCCAACTTGGGGTGCAGCGCTGGAGGCTTACGTGAGATTTTTGCCGCCGGAGTATGAAGATGGTGTCTCCTTGCCCCGTACAAATTTGCCGAGTGCGAGAGAAGTCTCCTCGCAGGTACATGCCGGCGGATTGGACCTTAAACATCCTTATTTAATGGCGCTTACTGCGCTTTTCAGTCAATTTCTTGCTCACGATTTGGCGCATACGCCTAGGATGGAATTACCGGACCACACCAGACTCAAATGTTGCGACGTTGATTATGAAAATTTTCATCCGGAGTGCTTCCCGATCCGCGCGGAACAGCCAATCGGATGTATGGAATATTCGAGATCAGCACCACATCCAGGGAATTCGTTACAGGTAATTTATATGAATAAAATCTTATATAATGTTCGAGAAATCTCTTAGAAATATGTCTATGATTTCTTCATATTATTATGTAAGAACTTCGGTCTAGGCAATGCCTTTTAAGATGCACATAAGGATTATATTGTCATTAGTATAAATTTGAAAGTTAATAATACCTTACGTATAGTACTAAGAATATAATATAAGAATTAAAAAACTAGTTATTTATGAAACTCGAATGTATAATAAATTAATGATTTTGATCGTTAAA